ATAACAGATAAAATCATGCAAATCATAAGGAATTGGGGCTATCATTTCTCTAGAATAAAATTGTTTTCTGCGAAAAGTATGTATTTTTAGAGTTGTGTGATCAAAAGGACTATTTTAAGGAAGTGAAGTGCTATTGTTATTAAATTAGAGGTATGGAGATGTGAGTACCATTGTTGGTGATAACAGAATAAGGTTGTGCTTGTGGGCATTTAAAATGATCTGTTCTGGAGATCGTAGTTAATATGATTTTGTTGTATTTTATGATATTTTAAGGATTAAGAACTAACATATGAATCCAGGTAAGTTTTCTTTTTTATTGCCAATGTTACAACAAAGGATGACATTATGTTGTTGTAGGATAGTTGAATGTGCCATTGGAAAGACAAGTTAGATTAGTTCATAACCTGTTCAGCTGCAATTTCGAACCACAGAAAGGGCTCATGAATATCAGATTATTAACTCAACATTTGGAATGCTGGGATGAAAGCATTATAAAGACTCCTCATATTCACACTAAATATCCAGAAATCCTGTTTAAGAAAGTGTGCTTAGGGACAAACCTCTTCATAACAATGATTTTGTTCCAACAAGACTAGTGAACTTCACTAGTTCATTTGCATTAGAAAAAGTCTATTAGAAATGTAGTGTTGAACTTGGGAACACAAGTTCAGGAGTCAGTTAATATTCATGGGTGGAATCTCATTGTATTTAATTATACTATAGCTTTTTTAAAATATATAAACCTAATATAAACCAATTATAAATCAACACACAAGTGGTAGGCATTTTGAGCTGATCTAATTAATAATTAACACTATATATTTATTAGTTTCTAACCAAAACATATCTCAATTGCATTTGCACTTAAAATCCATTTGTTCAATCAATATCCTGTTTTTCCCGCTTTTAAAAAAAAAATGATTTCCCATCAATGTTCAAAGTGTCTCCATTGCTTATAGTTTTCTCATAATAAATTATATTTGGGTAACCAAAAGCTTCCCTTATTCAGATCCTCTTAGTATTTTCACATTTCCCTTCTCATACCAAAATATAGTATACTAGTTGCAGATCCTATCTTTCTAGTTATAATAATACTTTTATTTCTAACAATTATCTATTCTCCTAGCCATGTTCAAACATCTATTTAAATAATATAATATCCCATCTAATGGGTCAAAATCTCTATTTTCTTCAGTCTTACACTAGCTTTCTTCCTTTGGCAACTAACTTTGCAAGTCAATACATTTGAATCATTAAGTAGTTCTTCCTCTATTTTTGTGTACATTGTTTGGAATAAGAAAGACAATTTGATTAAAGTATTTTTGGAAGAACACTCAGCTCATTTATATTCATTAAACTGCCTCTCTCCTTCTTCAATTTTCCACAATTATCCTAATAACTTTATCTTCCGTTTGATCAGCTCTTCTTCCTTATCCTCAAAAGTGTTCTGAGATCTTGACAAGTAAGATATCTTTTCCATTTCCGGTATTATCGCTATATCTTCTAATTCTTCATTTGTCTGAGTCTGTCTGTTGATATCTTCCTTTAGGTCTGCCATCTTTGGATCCGCTTCCTCTAATTTTTCTTCTATTTTCTGGGTTACTAGTTCCTTCTTTGGAGACATTTTCTGAATTTGTAGGTTTAGATTAGAAAATTGTTCTTTTATCTTCTTTGTGTTATTTTTAGTCTCATCATGAGCTAAGGCAATTGTCTCTTGTATTGATTTCAACATAGAAAGAATTTCTTTCTGAGATTCATCAACATTTTCTTGTTGGTATGTCAAGCTGAGGACTTTGAAGACAAGTGTTAAGGGTGGTTTTTTTTTTACCAGTTAAGGCTAAGTAATGAACATTCATTTTGTCTTTGTATGTGGTCTTTATAGTCCAATCTATTTAGGAATTTAAAAAGTTTCAGTCAATTGTAATTTGAACTCCAAATTAACCAGCAAGCCTAGCAGTTCATCCTTAAGCCTCCCCTAAACAAATATAAGCAAAATTCAAGTTTTTCTGTCCAATGAAAAACATATCCATTCTGTCCAGAGAGAAAAAGCAATTAAAAGTTGTTCATCAATCAAAGGTTTATAATCTGAAGTATTCCATCATCTCAATCAGTAATGCATGTTTCTTCTATAGGGAAATAGTTCCACAACACAGCTCTAAAAGTCAGTATTTGTATTCGTAATCCAGGCAGGCCAGTTTCAAAATAGTTTATCATCTCTGCCACACAGATAAGCAGCCCAAGAGGGTTTTTTCCCCCTTTTCCCAGATACAGGCTTCAAAAGTGAAAGTTTCCAAGGACAGCAAAAGTCTTATCTGAGTCTCGGCTTCAAGCCAAGTTTCCTTCAATCATAATATATTGTAGTGCTGTGGTTTGCCACTAGATGTCATTGATGCCGTCTTCCAGCTTTTTAAATCCAAACTTACATTGCAAGCTTTTCAAGTCTCTTTTCTAAAAAAGTTTCAAAAGCACTTTTAGTCCCCAAATTTCAAAGCTATATATCTTTATTGATCCAAATTAATCTTGTAATTTCTCTGTTTTCTTCCAAGCAATTAGTTCGCCGCTTTTCTTTTCCTGAGGGAATGGAGCGGAAATTCCCCTTCCCTCTCTCATCAGGCAGTTTTCTTTATTTTGGGTGTTTTTTTTCCCAGGAAAAAGTCTTAAAGTCATAAAGAGAGGATAAAGTCTTACCCAGTTCCATCCACATTGCTCAAAAGTTGCTCATTAGTATTTATTTTCTTTGGTTGTCAGCAACTTCTGACTGGCCACATGAATGTGGCCAGTTTTTCCCCTGCCGGTTTGGAGGGCTTCCTTGGATCAAACAGAAGAGCTGCCACCCCTCCATGATCAACAAGAGTCCCCTCCTTCTTCATCACCTCTCCAGAGCAACTTTTGACTCTTTTTAGGGTCCCCAGCAGGGTGAAATCAAACCTGGAAAGCGGAACCCTGTCTTTCTGCATCTGTGACACCGCAATGCCTAACTGGAAGCCCAACCACAGCTATGATTCTCTCGATGACATATTGTCTATCTTGGCCTCAGCGTCTATCCATTACTCTTTTGCTACTAACATTTGTTTTCAAGTTATCCTCTGACATCACATTATGAAAACCCGTACCGATCCTAGCCTAGTTAGTATGTAAAATTGAAACTCATTGGAAGCTCCCTGTCACTGAACTTGTGAGCTTTTGAATGGAGAAATGATCTCTGAATATAATATTTACTGTATGTAACATAATAGAAACTTATTTTTAAAAAGTGGGCAGGTAGAGAGTGAAATGGAAGTCAGCAGATGTTTATTTTTTCTCCCTTCTCTTATAGCTCACTCATTTCCATTTGTTAGCCTCTTTTGTGTTTTAACAATAGTGTTTTCATCATTCTTTGTTGCAGGTAGAAGAAACATTCAATTCATTATGGATCATGTCTCTCTGACTGTCACTTGAATTTATCAGTCAACACTATGATATGCAAGAGCCTTTTCTTCAGCCTTTTCTGCAAAAGAGAGGGAGGGAGGTGCGGGAGTGCTATTAGAGCTAATTAGAAGAAAGTCAATTACCAGAAATTTTTCCCCAGAGGAGTAAAAATGCCAGACAGCCACATTAGCTGACTTTTGTTATATTTTCAGGTTTACTAAGAACAACATTATTTAATGCTCACTCCATATATGTGTGTTTGTGTGTGTGTATATATGGGAGATTTCTTAGACTTTGAAATCCAATATTTATAGACTGGCCATTAAAGTGATGGTTGAAGTGCAATCTTAGCCTCAAATTATACCTGTAGTTGATCATGGAATATAGAATTGTGAAATTGGAAGAGACTCTGAGGATCACTTAGCCCAAATCTCTAAGTATGTAGGAAAACCAGTTAAGCATCCAGCTTCTTATTTAAAACCACCAATGAGGAAAACCCATAATCTCAATAGGTGGAGTGCTTCACTGCTGTACAAAACTTAAATCTGAACAAGAAGTAAGCACCTTCAAGTAAATTAATTATTTCTCTTCCTAGTCCCTTATCATTTTCCCTATGGCATCTTTTTACATACCTGATCTCAGGCCAGTCTTTTTATCTTCAAACTAAACTCTGTTCCTTCAGATTGTTCTCACAAGATACATTCTTAAGTTCCTGTCTCATCTTTGTTGTCCTTCTCAGACTCTATTCTAATAGAGTCCGTATTGGGATCACCACTAAATTCTCTATTCCGGCACAACAAAATATTTCGCCAGCAGAAAAATAGCTTGAGCTATATAGCTATATACAGTAGGTGTAGACTTTGAATCTTAAGAAAATTGGTCATATACCACAGAACCTGAAGATGCACATTTGATATGGCATAAAGATAAATCCTTTATCAGAGTGGCTAACCACCTTACCTCGGATGATGGATATAATCTGAAGAAAGATTTGAATAATGAAATAAAGGCCAGGATGGGTGACGGATAATTTGACTCAGTTCTGAAGAAGCACAGTGGGAGATATGTGTGAGCAGAAGACAGATCCAAATTCCAAAAACGATGCACAAAACTCTCACACACCAACTTATCGTGACTAAGTTTTATTTGATCTTCCTATTGTGAGAAAATGTAAAGGCAACCAGAGCTTTAGGGAACTCTACCTGACACTAGTATAGCTTGCTTTCACATTCATTATCTGAAAATTGTGACAGTTCAGAATTTGATGTTAAGTAATTATGATAATTATAATGATAATAGATACAAAACACCTGAGTTCACCTTTATGACTGCCACAGCAACTGAGGTGTTTTCAGAGATTTATGCTTCTGTTTAGGATCTTTCTGCCTGAACAAATTAACCTTGTTAAGAGAAAAAAAACAGGTGTAAGGGAGATAAAACCTGAATTCCTAAAACAGACCAAAGGTGATAACTTATTCTGGATGCCCCATTCATATCATAATGAATGCATAATATTCATAGAAACACCAATGCAAGTTAGTGTAAGTAGAATCAGACTAAAGTAAGTTTATTGTAGCTTTCAGATATCTTACCTTTTGTGCTCGTCGCTTGTCAGCTCTTTGATTCTGATGATAAATTCGGCTGAAATTGGAAACAATAACTGGGACAGGAAGGGCAATGACAAGCACACCGCTCAGTGAACAAATGGAACCAAATATCTTGCCAGCAATTGTCTTGGGCACCATATCTCCATAACTGGTATGGGGCAAAAAAGGAGACAAATAAGATAGCAGTGTTAGTACAAAGCAAAGCACATGTAAACACTGGCTAATCTGATAATCTTGAGAAATGTTTCTCAACCTCAGCAACTTTAAGATGTGTCGACTACAACTCCCAGAAATCCTCAGCCAGCATGGGGCATTCTGGTAGTTGAAATCCACACAATAAGCAGCTGAGGTGGAGAAACACTGATGTAGAGCAGGCTTTTCAATCTGTTCTATGGAATTTTGAGATTCCACAAGAATTTGATGGGATTTTATAAGAGAAAATGCACTCAAATGCAATCTAGAGGCTTGTACTGAGTCATATTAACTCCCCAAAATTGCCTAAATTGGATATGGGAAGCTCTCTGAACACTCTGCTAACATAAAAAGTTCTGCTTAAATTTACTTTAAATTTCCTACACTCTTTATTGAATCTTAGCTTGTCTTCATTTAGTATGGTGAGAGCTTACCTAGGCAACAACCTGCTCCATCAGATGTTCCATTTAGCACTTCTGCAGAATAAACCCCTGTGGCCCAAGATATAAAAGCAATCTTGAGCTCTATAAAAATGACATATGATGCATTATCCCATATTTGCTTTGTTTACATTAACAACAAATTCATGGTGATGGATGTGCTATGTAAGCTTTTACCTGCTTTTCCTCAAGCCACTCTGAATCTAGTTTCTGGCAAAAATGAGATGACTTCACATTTTGCATCAATTTTTTTAGCTTCATGAATTCTAAGCCAGGGGATATGTTACAATTTTCAGTTACTTTCAAAAGTCACTGAGACTGCTTTATGTCTAAAGCAGTGATGGCAAACCTTTTAGAGACCGAGTGCCCAAACCGCAACCCAAAACCCACTTATTTATTGCAAAGTGCCAGGGCCACATCAGCATTGTGGTGCCCTCAGGGAGGGGGGCAGGGAGGCGCCTCTGAGTGCCACCTTTGGCATGCAAAACCCGGGGGCGCAAAAATGGGCCGCCATGCCGCGGGGTGCAGATACAAGACGCTGCACCACACAAGAATGGGGCAGGGCTAGTGAGTTTCATTTAGGCACTAGCCCTGCCCCATTTGCAGCGCATGCATGCTAGCAGCCCCGTGTGTGCATGCACGCATGTAAAATGCTTTTCTTCCAGTCCACCAATCGACAATGGTTGGTGACCTCTGCTCTACCATCTCTACTCGAGCTTGTTAGTCAGTCGCTTTGCCTTTGTGCTGGGTGGGGCTCCTGCTCTGGGTGGCGGTGGCGGCCTGATGGACCTGCTGCTGGTGGCAGTGGCGCACGTGCCAACAGAGAGGGCTCTGAGTGCCGCCTCTGGCACGCGTGCCATAGGTTCGCCACTACTGGTCTAGAGTTTTTTAAAAAACCTAAATGCCTCCCCATATATACTTACTGACCTATACAACATTAATATAAGCAAAAATGCACAAAAGAAAAATATAATTCCATTTTCAGGTAATAGTTCAATGTTCAATTGCCTCTACTGTAGATTGTTATAATGACTGTTGTAATTTTGAAGTTTAGGGATCACTTTTCTATCTTCATTCATGTAGTAAACTATCTGTATTGACAACAAAGCAAGAAATAGAACCTGACCCAATCTAACAATAAAATAGTCTTCCCCAGCTGGGTATATATGGTGGATATATACCATATATAATCTATAGTCAGTACAACCAGTAAGAAAAATTAAGCTAATACAGAAACCAGACAATAAAAATATTTCTCCTTACATCAAATCTTCATAATCAACCCAGAGACACACTAATTAGAAGGTCTGTGAGAATCTTTGATCTGAAGATTCTCACAGACCAAGATTCTTGACTGAACTGCATCTTCAAACTGAATTTTTCGATTACCGTAAATTTCCAGATAGGTTTACTGCATTGAACCAAATCAAATGACTCCAACTTTGAATAGAATTATTTCAGTTCAAGATGAATTATACAACAAATTAAACTGAATTATTATTATGTGAGACTTGGGGGTGTATCTCTATTAATTGACTGAAAGTAGTAAAAAACAAATGCACATTTTAAAATACATTGTAAGATTAATTCCTTTTGTTGTCATCCCAATGCCAGCATTTTGAGGTAGACCAGGTCAAGAAATACATAGCACACCAATTCATTGTTGTTTGATGTAATAACAAAATCATGAAAATCTGAAAGTTTCCTTCCAATGCCTCTTTTGCTAAAAAAGAATCAAGGTTTTTTTTTGCCCACTCTTTTTTCCCAGGGCTGAGTGGATGTTTAGCTAACTATTTTTGCATTCTTTCTTCAGAGTTGTGCTCCTCCACAACTACCAGTAGTGAAATAAGTACAACATATTAAATGTCGAAAGGTTTGTTTAACACAACATATTTTTCATTACCACCTTTCAAGTTAATCTTATGGCAGGACAGAAGGACCAATAACACACCAATCCACTGGCTGGACAATCTTCAAAATCAAGTGTGGATCTTTCTTTCCAGATCATGAGAAATATAAGGTCAAGCATTGCTACAAGAATTAGAAGGCAGAATCTTCCAGCAATATAAATACTCTCAGAATTAACCACAAAAACAATGTATCAGTGACATTACACCACACTCAATCTGTAATATATTATCCAGATTTTTCTCACGGGCTTATAATCAATGCCTATTTTTGCTGAAAGGTTTTTGGGATGCCTATATGAATGTTTAATACTTCTTTATAAAAGTATAACTATCAGTTTACTGACCACATTTCCCAGGACTTGTAGGCCATTGCAAAAATACAAATTAGTTCATACCTTCTAGATTTACTATTGCTCTGTATTAGAAAACTGAAGCACCTCTCTGCTTGGATCAATAGTAATTAAAAGCATAGGAAATAGTATGTCTTATAAAACAGACAATAGCAGAAAAAAATTCTTGGAAGAAGCCTTTTATTCAAAAACATTTCAGTCATATTATATAAGTATTAAATAAACACTGTTTATCTTTCTTAAGATTGCATATGCATCCATATATAATACTTCTTTTTAAAAGATAAAGAAAGAGAAATAAAAAAATTCTACTAAATGTCAATACTTAGAATATGAGTTCTAAAGCTTACATCAATATACACTGTAAATCAATTGGAGAACAAAGAAGGGGAAAGTCAAAAATTAAATATTTATATTGCTTTTAGGGTTTTTTGTTTCTTTTTCTTCTAACAATGATAAATAATAATATAGTGGAGATTTTGCTGTTAGGCTACAAATTCATATACCGTATTTTTTTATTTAATATGAAAACAATATACTCTGCTTCACATCTTTTATAAATGTTATATTAAGCATTAATTGTACAACCTAATTATTTATCCATGTATAGATATTATTCTTTTTGAAAATATATCTGTTATAAATTAAAGAAAAAAAACACAATTTGAATGAACAAAAGAACACTGGAACACTGCTATCATGTCTCCCTAGTCCTTCTTTTCATTAGCTAGCTGCTAGACAAATCTTTTTCCTGTAACCATTCTTTGTATGTTTTAGCTTCCACTTCCCTAATCATTCTTGTTACTCTTCTCTGGACTCTTTTCAGAGTCTCAACATCTTTTTTATATTGTGGTGACCAGAACTGAATGCAGTACTCCACGTGTAGTCTTTTTTATTTGCACATGCACGGTAGCTAGGTTGCTACCACTGCTGCCGCTGCTGCTACTGGTCCACGTAGCCAGAAAGGTTGGGGACCTCTGTTGTATAGAATCCTCTTTTCTATTTGTTTCTATCTGTTCTGGAAACAGACAATTATGGCCCAGGATTGCTTGTAGCCTTGGGGAGCCCTTTTAGTGACTGCCTGGACCCTCTCTAACCATGATTGTGGAAAATTGAAATCATGTTTTCTTGCCTTTTTGACCTGAAAATGTATTATATGCCAGACAATTCTGGTGAAATTATGTCTACCAAGTTGCAAGGAATTGGAAGAGTTTGTATAAGAACAATGCTCTAAAATAGAAAGGTAAAGGTTTCCCCTGTCAGTGGCGTCTGACTCTAGAGGATAATATTCATCTCCAATTCACAGCCGAAGCGCCAGAGTTGTCTAAAGACGCTTCCATGGTCATGTGCCGGCATGACTATGTGCTGAAAGTGCATGGAATAGTGTTAATAGGAATGTCATTTAAGTACACAGAAACCCTCAAAATCCTCTCACCATCAAATAGCTCTGGTCACTTGTATGATGTGTCTTACACACTTTGAGGTTCTTATTTTCCCTAACATTTAAGGCCTTGCTCTTGCCCAGAAAAAGATTTGCTCAGAAGAATCATACCATTACAGTCCTTATTTTGTATCTAGAGCAGGAGTGTCAAACTGCCGGCCCACCGGCCGGACACATCATCCGGAAGCCACACCCATCCCATTGCTGGCAATGGCAAAACCGTCCTGATTCATTGCACGATGTCATGTGATGTTGCGAGTTTGACATGTCTGATCTAGAGGATCTCCAAGTATAGTGAGATATATATATATATATCCTGAGTTTCTTTGATTTAATTTTTGCCTGCATAAACTATTGCTGATATCAGGATAGAAGGATTTATTCTATTTTGCAGGATCCAATCTGTGTTGGTCACTGGGACAGAGATTCAATCTTCTGAGCTTTCAGACTCATACTGGAGCCCATCCTCAGGGAACTTGTCTCTCACCAAAATATGACCAATCCAGACTGGATCATGCAAATCCCAGATTATCCCAGATTATCCTGGGACATGTATATCTGCCTTCATTTGTATTCTCTTTTGTGCCAAAATAAAGCATTGGACTGGATATATATTTATGATAGAATAACATGAGAGTGACTATCAGTGCAAACAATGAGGAATACTGATACGGAAAAGGAAGTTTTTCAAGAATTTTAGATATAGTGCAGAATATTTGTTTTAATGTAACCAGACTCATTTCACACTATAGAAACTGAAATTCTTGTTTAATGACTACTACTTTCTTCCATTCTAACTGGAGTGCAA